AGGACATACAGGGTGCATCTACACAAGATGTTTACTGCGAAGTCGCCCACTTAGCTCCGCAGTAAATATCTCAGTGTCTAAACATGTGGCCCTATTACACAGCAGGAAATGAATAAACTCCACAGCAGGGCTACTTGTTAATACAAATACTACCCTGGCAGGAAATGAATAAACTCTGCAGCAGGATTAACTTAATACAAATACTACCCTGCTGCAGTGGTTTTTTGTGTGCAGCAATGTACGTGTATATGCTGACCCAGCTGGCTGGGGCATGAGGATCCTTCAGTGCAGGGGTTTCCTGCCAGCTACCCCACACTGGAGCACCCTTGTGCCCCAGCCAGCCCCTCTGCAGTACGTTGGGCTGGGTTGGAGCAGCCCTGAGCTGGCAGGCTGACCCCCCAGGCTCCCTGCCAGCCAGGACTGCTCCAACCCAGCTCAGTGTGCTGTGGTCCCAGAAGCATGTTCAAATGCCGCACCCATGAGCAATAAATGTTAGTGCAATATGCACCAGAGTTTATTGCTACGTATTAATAGCACATGTAGATGTGCCCACAGATAAATGGGAGACAGCATAGAAAGGAACAACAGGAAAGATGAGAGATTTTGAAAATGTGGCCTAGAAATGAAGGTTGAAGGAATGAAGTTTATTTAGTCTTAAAAAGAAAAGTCTGAGGAAGGGACTTTATAAATCTTCTGATATCTGCACTGCCACAAAGGCAACAGTGACTGAATTGTCTTTGTGGTAATTGTGGGTTGAATAACTAGTGTTTGGTTTAATTCACAGAAAAAAAAAGTAGCAGCATTTAGATATTAGGAAAAGCCTTCTAATTATATAGACAGTTAAACACTGGAAAAGGCTGCCTAGGGACTTTATGGAATTTCCTTCAGCGGGCTTTTTAAAATACAGGTTAGGCAAACATTTGTCAGCGATGGTCTAGATATATTTGATCATGCCTCAGTGTAGAGGGGTCTTGGACTAGATGACCCCTTGAAGTCCCTCCTAGCCCTAAGTATCTATGATTCATAATGTGATTCTAAGAGCCTGTGACAAAAAATGCCCTGGATGGAGGGACTGGTCATTCTCCGTGATATTAACAGGCCCTGGATTAAAATATACATGCAAAGCATGCCAGACAAGTAGTCTACTTTATATTCAGGCACTTTCCTTTCTCAATGCCTCTAAAACTTCATTATCTATTTGTATTATAACTAGACACTTCTTGGAGCATTTATCATTTTAAGGCTCAGGCTGGAGGTCAAGGGTTTGGATCCATTCTATCCACGACTTACTTCAGCAAGTATTCACATTCCTCTCTGTGGCGCCAACAAAACAACAGCACTGACTCTTTTTTACCCACGGCCCCAAAAAATTATGAAATATGAACAAAGAGCTCTACATATGCAATCTACATACACATCAATGCAGTTTGTACTTGACCTGGATTTTTCTGATTCAATCCCAATCTCTATTTGGGTGTATAAATCTAGATGCAGACAACGCTTTGCACTATAGTTTCTATGGGGGTTTAAATAATAAAACAAGGCAATCAGGTTATGAGTTTCAAATGGGGCCTAAACATGTTAGATGCCTAACATCCAATGAAATTAAACAGGGTTTTAATTACCCCAGTCTTCAGCTTCCCTGGAGGTCCCAACATACTTTAGCTAACTTACTGCCCACAAACATAAAAACATACTTCTCCACTTTTTAATAGCCCAACAAAAGAGACCAGAAAGAACTAGTGCCCTAATTTATGAAGGAGATTTTTTAAAGGAACAAAAGTAAATCAAGCCCTTGCCTCCTCTGGAAAACTGACAGAATTTGGGCATCTAATTCCTCTTGGCGTTTCACTAATTTTCTCTATTTCCCCGCTGGTGCTGATGAGGAGTACATACACGTTCTCTCCTGAACCCTAATCCTGCCCCTGTCTTTACCATGGGAAATCTGTTGTTTCAGGAATGGTTAACAGTTGACAGCACCAAGATTAAGCTGCACCTGTCAGGAACAATTAGGCAGACTAGGGCACATTCTTTTGATGATTTGGCAGAAGTTAAACTATTTGATCTGACCCCTTCTAGGAAAGAAAGATCCACTCACTACAAGGCCTTTTGTTTTCATGAGTCTGCGAAGTGAACAAAGCAATAGAACACAACTCACCCACGTGATTAAACAGAGCTCTTGGAAACTGGAGCTCAGATACCTGAATATTTGGGGTTTGACTAAACCCTGGCTCATACCACCAGCCTAGATTACCCAGCCTGTGGCACAGCCAGTTAAAAAAAGGGAATCTGGCTGCAGACAAATGAGATGCCTACAGCAAATGATCCACTTGTGGGGAATAGGTATTGGCTAGTGCAGGGGTGTCAAAGATACGGCCCACACAGCCCATTCATCCAGCCCCTTGTGTTGTCTATGGGTCTCAAAGTTGACCTACAGGCAGCATCCAGGGTCACTCACGTCGGGCCATGTCAGATTCTAATGGATCTGTAAATTCTGTTAAATACCTGTCATCAACAATCTCAGGACAGAAGATGATGAAGAAACAGCAGCAGCAGCATGCAGGCTGTGCTGGATGGCTCAGCACATGGCACACAGTACCAATTCCAGCCACACTGGGATCACACCACGTAGAGGGCTTACTCCATGCCAGTTCCAGCATGCAGCATGTTTACAGAGTCACCTAAGCAGGACCATGTTGTGTCCACTCCAGTCACTCCAGGACACACGCTTTATCTGGCATGCAGGGCCGCTCTATGGGTTTGAACTGGCCAGCACCACTCATCCGGCCTGAACTGGCTTAGAGCCGCTCATTTGGCCTGCAGAGCCACTCCTGGGCTAGTGGATAGAATTGTCCAAGGAAGTCAAGGTGGCCAAAGATGTGATGACTCAGAGCATCTCTATATCCACCATTCACAGCTGCACCCTGAAGCTGCCCTCCCCTCACGGAAGTGGAGTTGTGCAAACACTGCTTGCCCTCTTCACAAGACCTCCCAGTGGACATAGCTGTGCCTGTGGCTCAAAAGCTGTGAAGTCCTTGAGCTAGGCAGAATGTTGATCTCTGTTTGTACAGGGCCTGGCACGTAACTGTACCTTTGTAAAGATCAGAGCTTCTGAATACTACTACTTGTTTGCCATCCTCACAGCCATGGAATTGTCTATGACGGACACTATGCGAATATTTTTGTAACATGCCAGAAGGTATTGTCAACTCATAAGCAAGTCAGATGTACCCAGAGTAAGAAACCTTGTCTAACAGCATAAATGGAAAAGAAAGGCTTAATTAACATTTAATCTGTAACGAAAACTCTGGTTGCAACTCAATACTGAAGCAGTGAAGTAAAACACTTGCTGACAGAGGAGGTTAGCCTTTGTTCTATTGTAAAAAGGTTTTTCTATGTGGGATGACTAACTCTGTCTGCCACATAGCTATCTGCTTAGGTCAGCAACATTTGATGTTCTTGCTCTGCCATGGTTGTTTTTAGGCTCTAGAAGTGGCACAAAACAGCAGTTCAACTATATATATATTATAGTTCAACTATAATAAATTACCCATTTGCTTAAGTTACCTCACTGTAGAAATTAAATCCAGGTAATTGCACAATCAGACTCTCAGTTGCTAAAGAAAATCAATGCCATTTAGTTACAATGCTCTATAATCTCAGCTGGTTGAAGTTACTGAGACACTCAAAAGCAAGCATCATTTTAACAACCTCTGGAGACCCACAGGCTGGATTAACCACACCCTTGACATAAGCAGTGCAAGTGAAACCAGAATTTTAGCCAAACTCCAAGAAAAGCAGCTTTATGTTTCCTTGTCAAACCTTCAACATTATAAAGCAGCACAACAAAAATAATAAGGGAGTGAAGCCAAAAAGCAATAACACTGCAAGTTTCACCTTATGTTACATGAAATGTTCACATTATATTTTTAACTAACTAAAGTAATCTGTCTTCAAAGAGAATGAATTGTGATTAAACTAAACACAGTACATTATTTCCGTGGTTAGCCTCATTTCCTTATTGTTGACCAACAGAGAATTACAGTGGAAAAGTTCCTCTTACTTAAAGTGCCAACATTTCAACACAAAAATCACTAAGTATATTCAATGAAAAAAATATCTGCCAATTTTACATTGGCCAGATTGTTGGGACACTGGGTTCTTGGTGGGGGGAGGGGGCAGAAAACAAGTAAATTAAGACTCAGATGAGCTCATGAGGAAAGTATTTTGCCCTCAGGGATGTTTATCCCGTAAATGTAGCTTCTAAACTCTTCTACTAATACTGTGGGGATGCATCAAAACTGAGGAACAGTAGAGATTTTTATACAGTGGCAACTATTTCACTTTTGTAAATACACAAATCCCCTTCTGTTAGTAAAATATGGGCATTCAGACATACCCATCATCTGCAGATACTGATAAAATACTTATAGACATGTAACAGAGAAGCAAAGAAATCCAGAGATTAGCATCTCCCTCTCCTTTTTCATAAGAATCTCTTGTTTAGATCACAACATCAAGTAGAAGCAGTGTTGCACATTAAGAGTGAATGAGACAGACTTCAGTAGTAAGTTGTTATGAAATGTCTCCTATTCCCTCATCTGTGGTTCATTTGCAGTACGTTCATATTTTATGACTGCAATATGCGACTAACTTATGGGCAACCCATTTTATTTAAAAATAAACATTTCCATATAATATGGAGAAATACAGTATAGTGTCAGTGGGTGACATTTCAGCACTGCATTTTTAGAAGTTACTTACTCATTTACAAATTAAGTTCAGCATTCACCATTATTATTATTTTTAAGCACATATCTCAATAGCAGCTTTCATTTTAACAGGGTTTTTAAGAGTCATTGCCTCCATGCTTAAAAAAAGGTATGTGCCTAGAGGTTTTCTATGGAAAGCAAGTCCCCTCAAATTGGCACAAAGACAGTAACCACAGATTAAAAGTATTTTGTGTGTGCCCTACCAACATAGAAAGCAAGTTCTCTTACCTATTTGGTCCTCAGGAATCAGTGATTCAATCGGGGGGTCCAGTTCAGAGCTCTGGGACAAATAGTTCTTAACCTGTGTCATGAACTGCCGAACAGTTTGCAGCATGTCTGTACTGGAAACATGGCATTCCTTATTTTCTTGGAGAAAGCTGATATAGTCCTGAACCAGGCACCCAAAATAAGTGCGTTTGTCCTGGGACATTTCTGCAATTTTCTTGATCATCCTCTTCTCAGGGGTCATGAAAGAACTAAAAACTCCACTTACTTTCCGAAGCTGGGATTTCACAATCTTGGGGAGAACAAAGGAACTACTCCTTTTCTTTTTTGGCTTCAAAGGGGGTGCCATGGTCTCCTGGTCACTCTCCCCTTCAAAGTCTTCCAGGCTACTGTTCGTGTCCCCTTCATAACCAAACAGCGGCATGCTCCGATCAAAATCCAGTGAGTCTGATGAGGAGGTGGAAATGCTCATGTCGCTCAGTCTCTGCCTGCCTCCATTCCACTGTACTTGTGACTCAGAGTTTGTAGCCAAGGTTTTTTTGCAAGCTGCTAAACTGTGCTCAGGCGGGGCTTCACCTGGAACGCTAGCAGCTTCTGACCCATGCACTGAGTTATGACTAGGTCGAATTACTGCTGAGGTCTTTGCATTACCTTCCACTTCTGAGCTAACAGCCTGCTTCTTCAGCCGGGGAGGAGGAATAGGGGTTGGTTTCTTCTGCAGCAAATCCGAGTTCCTATATTTGTTATGGTTGACTGTTTCTGACATGCTCGCCTGCTTTATAGTCCTGGAAAGTTGCGGACTTGTGAGAAGGCTATTAATAGATGGTGGTGGCGGTCTGGGTGGGGGAGAGCGAGGCCTCTCTGTGCCATTCACATCTTGAGTTCTTGGGCTCTGCCTTTTCAAACTTCCACTAACATCCTGGCTATGCACTTTTAAGAAGAGAGGATTAATAAAACACAAGGCTCCGTTGGTCTGGCTACACTCCAGCTCCGAAGGCGTTCTGGTTCTTATAGAATGCACTCCATTTATAAGGCAGAGCTGACGTGACTCTTTGTAAGTGTTGTCCGAGGGCAGAGGCCTATGGGGAGGTGAAGGATTTTGGGGTTTGTTGTTAGCCGGAGAGCTCCAAAAATCTGAAAATCATTATTGTGTTAACATAAGAATGCAAATATTATGCAGTTGGCTTTCAGAACATTCAACTCAATATTTTCATCCTGAAGCATGGTGAAATCAAGGCCAGCTTTCATTTCTAAGATTTCTTAATAAGCATCATAAAAAATACCTGGCATAGCTGCACACTATACAGTCAGGCTACAGCTATTCAACCATTGCATTTATAAATATCTAGGCCAATGCAAATCACCGTAACAGTCTACACAGCTAAGTTTGCAAGTAAACTGGGATATAAAGAAAGGAACAATCACTGTAGGGTACACATTATTACTGTTTTGAGACTGAAATAGACATAAGCTAATACCCAATGTGTTGATTAGATAACTACGAGCCAGATTCTCAGCGGTGTCGCTCAGGCAGCTGTACTGAAACCACCAGAACTACTACTGTAGCTTTACGTTTTGGAAATAAAAAACAGCATTTCACATTTAGAGAAAAAGCAAGTAAGCAAGCTAAGCACAAGATGAATGAATCAGGTCTTGTCCCTTTGGCAGTCCTTAGTTACACTGGTTCAAGTATTCAGGTCTCTTTAAATGTTGTTCTGGCTGCAGTTCTGAGTATGTAAGAGTTACACAATTTGCTCAAGGTTTTAGATACTACACAGCTCATAAACCAATTAAATGTGCAAAAAAACAACAGTATGGAAAGCTTTTACTAACTTGGCGAGTTTTAACAAAAGTCCCCTCATCTTCAGTAAAACACCTGGTAGTAAAACATCTACAGAACCTGGACAACTGCTCCCACAGCAACCCCACAGACTCCACTGAATCAGACCATGGGCTACATGCGGCTTCTGAAGGGCTAGCAAGCGGTCTGTGGGCTCCCACCCCCCACCCACGTTGTTCCTGCCCTGGCAACTGGGAAAGGGCTGGAATGTCAGAGCTGCGCGCATGGCAAAGGACAGAGACAAGGCTGCCCTCACTGCAGGTGGGTGGTGCATGTGGCTTGTACAGGGTAGAGATGAGTGCTACATATGCCACAGGTGGGGAGGGGGAGGTTGCCTGTGTTGCAGAGGAGGTCTGCCTGCACAGCTGGATGGGGGGAGCTGGACTGCCTGTGCTGTGGTGTGGGCCAGGGGAAGGCTGAACAGCCTGAAGTAGAGAGGGACCAAGCTCTGTGCAGTTGGAGTACTGCATCCAGTTTTGGGCGCTGCACTTCAGGAGCCATGCGGAGAATCTTGAGAGGGTCCAGAGGAGGCCACTTGTATGGTCAGAGGCCTGCAGGCAAGGCCCTACGAGGACAGACTGAGGGACCTAGATCTCTTCAGCCTTTGCAAGAAACGGCTGAGAGGTGATCTTGTGGCTGCCTATAAATTCATCAGGAGAGGGCAGCAGGACATAGGAGATGCTATATTTACTAGGGCACCCCGTGGAGTAACTAGAAACAGCAGCCACAAATTGACAGAGAGCAGATTTACGTTGGACATTAGAAAGAACTTCTTCACAGTAAGGGTTGCCAGAATCTGGAATGGGCTTTCAAGGGAGGTGGTGCTCTCCCCTACCCTGGGGGTCTTCAAGAGGAGACTGGACAAGCACCTAGCTGGGGTCATCTGACCCCAGCACTCCTTCCTGCCCAAGGCCAGGTGTCGGACTCAATGACCCACTGAGGTCCCTTCTGACCTTAATATCTATGAATCTATGGCTTTGCAGGCCCTTCTCTTAGAGTCTTATTTTGCTACACAGACAAATGTCTGGGGAAAAAATCTGCCCTTAGTTAATCTGGTGCAGAAACCATATCTTAGAAGATACCAAGTGTCCCTTAGTTCCCACTGACTTTCAAAGGAAATGAGGCCACTCAGCACTTAGCAGGAGTTGCTCAACGTTTCATTGGTTACAGGCCCATATTTGAATTTTGCATAGACTGTGGGCTCTGGGTACGTACTGCAGCAAGCCTGTATTTGGTTAGTTAGAGGAAGTGGCATTATCAAGAGAGATGCCTAGGCATTTTTCTTCTACTTGGAAACCCCCCTTATGCCAATATGCCAATGTATATCCCCTACTTGTGCTTGTGTCAACACACCTCTTAACAGTGTTGAAAACTTTCCTAACATTAGCAGGCATCAATCTGAGTATGGAATTTGGTTCAAAATGACCCACAGTTCCCAAACTCTCCTGACAATCACAGCAAGCTACCAAAACTAAGACCTGTGTTGCACAAGCCTGCATCTGCTGTTTTTAATTCATCTCCATATACTTTAACTCAGAAATGGCTATTGGCTAATCTGCGGCATGGGTGCTACAAGTGGTATGAGCAGTCTCCAGGTGTGCCACCTGTCAGACTGGGGAGGGAACAGGCATTACAGTAGCAAATAGGGCAGAGAGCAGAAAATGGAGCAGCAGATCAGGTGTGGAGCTGAAAGCTGAGCAGCACATCAGGTAAGGCAAAAGGATTGAAGCAACACTTGGGGAGGGTGTAAAGATAAGTTGTGGCATGTCTGCCAAAAAGGTTGGCCCCCACTGCTCTAACCTACAGCGAAGGATGGGCTGCATCAAACCTTCATCTCTTCGTGGTGGGATTGAGTTTGGATCAGCTCCACACATTCTGTAGGTCAGGATGCATACAGATAGAGAGCAAATAGCAGCTGTGCAGTCAAGCACATTACAGAGAGTTTAATCAGTGCAGTATACTACCAGCTGAGAATAACCAGACTTTTACACTTCTGATAACAAGAACAATTTTTTAAAATGTAACCTGGGTCACTGTTTACCAATATCTGTTGTCAAGTTTATTTTCCTGACCTTGATGGAATGATACAAGAAACTAAGCCTATGCAGTTAATCATACTTACTCAGTCCCAGCTGAGCAATATCTTCAAGTTCAGCCTCTGTTTTGGCTGCTGCAATAGCATGAGGCAATTTCAAGGTGAATGGCAGCACATCCCTTGGTTTAAAAAGAAAAACAAAAGCATTGGCAAGTTTTATAATTACTGTTCTCTGCTACAAAAGGCTCATTTCCAGCATATTCAGTGATTCCAAGGCAGAGTCTTGTTTAACCTAAGGCCCCTTTGATCTGTTCTGACAAAGCAGGGGTGGGCAAAATGGTGGATTTGGCTGGACTCCATTTCCCAGCAGCCCCTACCTGCGTGGCTTGGGCAGGTTTCTTTGGAGACCCCAGCAGCAGCCAGCTGTGATAGCAAGGGGCTCGTGTTTCTGTGGAGACTGGCCCCAGCAGCACTGGCAAGGTGCACGGCTCTGGGGCTGAGCTGGGATCTTCAAGTGGTGACAGCGTGGTCTGGAGCCAGGGAAGAACTGCAATTCACTACCTGCAAACCCCAGCCTGGAGTACGCAGGCTGCAGGTCATGGTTCTGCCCTGGCTCCGGGCCATGCTGTCACCGCTGCAAGATCCCAGCCCAGCCCTGAAGCAGCTCCCCACCCTACCAGCTGCTGGAGCCAGTCTCCATGGAAACCCTGGCTGGGGGGGGGGGGGGGGGGGGG